AAAAAAATTAAAAAGAAAAAAACAACTATTATCAAACAAGAGAGTATAACAAGACTTGGCAAACAAGTCAAATTGAATGGGTTCGGATTTGGTTATCTCGGATCTTGTATTTTTCATATAAGTTCATTTCAACTGTCAAGTTAAAAAGGTAGATTTATAATCCACTCACACGGGTCTCAAATTGGATTGGGTGAACTCAACTTTTAAAAAAATTAAAATTAAAATAAAAAAATTTTCATATTTTTTTAAAATTTTTCTTTAACAAAGTCTAATATTAATTACCTATTTAGTTAGAATACTCTATTAAACACTAATTCATTTTATGATTCAAATTTCATTTCAATCTCATGAAAAAAAAAAAGAGGAAAAGATTACTAATTTCATAGGTGGAACTAAAATATATGTCCAATATATAATGCCTATATAATATTTACAATTCATAATTTCGTAAATGTATTAACCTTTATTAAAAAAAGAAACATGAACGATTATAGTTCAAAAGACAAATCCAACATATACTGATATCTAGTGCCTATTCAATATTTAAAATGGTATTAGGCAAAAAAATACAGTTCTATTCAATATTTAAAAGAGTATTATACAAAAAATATAGTCATATTCAATATTAAAGTTCAAAAGGCAAATTTAAAATATGTCTAAATAAATACAAGAAGAAACTAGATTGGGATTTATTTTATTAACTAGGAACAACTTATTAACCAAGAACAAATTAGCAACTAAGAATAAATCTTGATGTTCATGTCTTTGTGCTTTTAATGGTAGTGAGGGTAACTCAAACACTGGATTTTCATTTTTAGTAGGCATTCTTACTTTCTATTGTAAAAAAAAAAAAAAAGAAGAAAAAAAAAAAAGGGGAGATCTTTTTGACAATGCCAAGTAATGCAGCTTATTATATGTCATCTAATCTGATTTTTAACGTAAGTGCCACCAAAAAGAAAGATAGGAGAGCTTGAGATGAAGAAGGGGAGAGGAAAAGTTGAGAGAAAGTGAGTTGATGGGAGGTTAGGATTTGGGTATTTTATTTATTTTTATTTTTAAGATTAAAAAATTAGAAACTTAAAATTATTTTTTAAGTAATTTCATAAAAAAATTAAAAAAAAAAAGAGTTCAGGTCAGTTTGGATGACCCGACCCATCTGTGACCCAACTCATTTAGATTCGAATAATTTCAATTTTGATCATTTCATATTTCAAATTAATTTATAGAATCCATGACCTCACCTATAACAGATAGGTTGAGTCAAAATTTCGAATTTCATCCAATTTTGTCAGGTCTCATATGATTGTTTCTTGATTCTGAAACCCAAACTTTCTAATTCTCTTTTCTTTCTTTCTTTTTTTTCTGGAGAATGAATCCACGTACACATGCTCACTTCTACTAGGCTAAACCTCGTCATGATTTTTTTTTTCTGAGAAAGGCACACCACACACAGCCTAAATTCAAGAATTAATAAAAATTATTAGTACTTAACATGAAATCTTTTTGTTGTATTAGTAGGCAATTACAAAGGAACTTTTTGCATTTTCTTCGTCTTTTTGGCTTTCACAGCTCATCTGGATAACATCACTTAAACACAACTACTTAAATTACAAATTTCTTAATTTAAATCATAATTGTTTTCAAATTAATTTACACGTGCTTTTAAAACTATCTTCTTAAGTAGTTTTAAAAATACACACCTCTATCATCCTATTGATGTATATGGTGAATTTGAGTTAAGGATACATGTTTATCAGAACATGCATGTCGGCAGTAAAAGATTCTTAATTTAATACCAATTAACCAAGTTGCCATCGCACGAATAAATCAACTGTGATTGTCAAAAGTAAAGGACAGATTTGACACAATTTTTTGGAATTCATGCGGGTCCACATTGTTAATTCCTGCATGCTGAACATAGGAACATTGAAGAATTAATTAAGGCTTCTTGCGTGCCTCTAATCGGTTTATTAATTACTTAATTCGTTACTCAAGTTTCTACTAATAGTGAGAGAAAATTTATCATTACTTTACCTTGCATATTGTACTTCTTTCTTCGGTGCCTTTTCCTTTCTTTTGAATGGAATATAAAAATCAATACACTTAAGTTTAAACACCTCTCTTACTTATGGTTTGTTTTCTAAAAAGGAAAACAAATTTGATTACCGTATGTGTTATGAATACAAAAGATACTCAAATTTTTACATTGAGTAGTCACATAAGACACACAAGCATTGATATTGATAGGTTGAAACTTAAATTTTTTTTTTGTCAAGTTGAAATTACAAATCATCTCTATAAAATAGAGTTAATCCATGACAATCAATTAAAGGTCTATTTGGTTAGTGAAAAACTTTTTCTTATTGGTTATTTATGCATTTTGACTAATTAATATCGTAACAAAAGTAAGGTAAAAATAATATTTTTAATTTTTTTAACATAATTCTTAGTAAAATTTTCTTTTCATATATACTTTTATAAAGAAAAAAATTTCCCCTCAACTCTTTTTATGTAAGTATCAATAAACAACTTTTCTACTAATATTTTTTAATGCTAATTTTTTAACCAAATATTTTGCAAAATTTCATTATAAAACTTAATATAGTTAATTGATCAAATTTTTAGTACAATACTTTTTTAATAAAAACTTTCTTAATAAAATTGATTTCTAACCAAACAATCCTAAAGTAATTGGCCATCTTGATATGGTTAATTGTTAATAGTGATTTGAGGTGGATAGAAAAGATTTAATAGAAAAGATAGCTCAGAGCAAAAAGAAGGATTTATCCACAATTGTTTGCACTGAAATGAAGAATGCAACTCTTAGCGCAAGCCGAGGGCACCGCACCCTGTTGGGAGACATGCGTATCTCTCAACAAAAATGCCTTTAGTAATATTTATATAAACTTTAACTGATGTAAAACATCAGTATCTAGTTTCGAAACAAGTAAGATATATATACATTGTGCATGAGTTTGTCATGTCAAATCAATAGTGAATTTGAGATTATGGCCAATGCCGTAGGTAAGAAAAAGATGCTTTTTAAGTAGGACCCTTCATTTGTAATGGGTGACAGAAAAAAATGCAACATTAGGTTCCTTTCAGCTCATTGTCCAGCGAATGAATGAAACCCAACTGTTTTTTCAGTGATATATCATATCAGCACGAGGAGGCGGGTTCCACTGTCCACATTGATTTATTTATTTTTTTCAACAAGGGTAAACATTGTATTTGCCAAAAAGAAAAAAAAGAAGGCAAAACCATAAGTTAAGCCCCTGAACCGATCCCAGAATCGCTATTAAGCCCCTAGACTTTAATTGAAGCATTTAAGCCCCTGAACTCTGCAATAGAAGCAATTTAGCCCTTACTCTCACAGCCAACTGAATTGCTGCTAATTGCCGTTAACTGATGTTTGGAGGACTGTCTCGTGTGGCGCATCTCACTCCTACGTGGCAAGGGACTTGATATTTGATTTGTCCATTTATATGAAAAAAAAAAATTATTTAGGAATAAATTTTTTATATCTTTTTATACAATTTTATATG